CTCTGCCTTCACACTGCTGAAGCCACAGAAGGAAAGTTTCTTTTAACATATGGAAAATAAATGACTGCTAAAATCAGTCCAGTGGGCAGTGCCAGAGACAACAGTGCCCTGGGTGGGGGGAGCTGACAGCCCCTCCTCTCCTCATGGCTACCCCTGGGTACCCCCGTGACAGCCCCCGAGCCCCAACGTGGTGCTGAGCTGGGCTGCTGTGCCCAAAGCCTTGCAGACAACCTTGCCTGTGTGGGTTCTTGCTTAGATTTCAGCTTTCCTTAGCCACATCAGCCAGGCTGGATGGATGAACGTGTCAAAGTGATGATATGGAGACATTTTTCGGTGTAAAAGAAATCAAAGAATTCGTGCATTCCAGTAAGACAGGGGTGAAACCTTGGCTGAAAACAGTTTTGCTGGAAAGCTCTTGAGATACCACTGTGTGTCTTCACAGCTCTTGCCTGATTCCCTCCATCCTCTCCCAGGCAGCGTCCCTGGCACCTTCTTCAAGGTTGATGTGCCTTTCTGGTCCTAGATCCGGGCTGAAATGAGTTTCCACTTTGCTGTGTCACTTGGTAGATGCAGCCAAACTGCTTCATTTCCTGCTGGGAAGTCTGTTCCAGCATGGCCCTGGTTTGTAGTTCTGTAGTTTTGCCCTATGATGCCAACAAGGTGCTGTCCTCTGGGTACCAGGAAATGTACCCACGTCCCAGTGCAGTGACTTGAGGTAGTTACTCCTTGGCTTGTGATCACCACCCACAGCAAAGCTCCTGCTGCCTGTGCACGAGGTTTCACTCTGCCAAGAGGGCTACAAAGACACCTGGTGAAAAGCCTTTGCTACCTGCTCTTCCTGTGACCTTTCAGAGCCCAAATCTGATTTTCAGAGTCTGTCAAAGGCACCCCTTGTTGCTCAGATGTTCAGGCTTGAACCAGACTTCTCCTGAAGAGAGGTGGGCAGAAGGTTTTGGCCTATCCTGCTTTAAAGCCTTGGGTTTGTTCGTGGCCCTCTTCAGGAACAGAACTGCTGACCAGTGTGACAAATATGTTTGTATTTAAAAGTGTCCATAGTTGCAGTGTTGCATCATCTCCATGGTTATTTAAAAAATTCTCTTTGTGATTTTACATTATTAATAAGGTGACTACAGAATTGTCTAGAAAATAAAAATAATAATCCTTGTGTTGATCCTGACTGTGACTTCATCATTTCCTGTCGAAATTGGACCAAGTCCTCAGATCCAGTTTATTCTGCTATCTCCCTTCATGTTATTGGCACTATTGTCACCAGCTGTCACGATAAGATATCCACAGTGTGTCAGTAGGGAAGAATCTTTTGAAGGACAAACTAGGAAAAATGACTCAAGAAGCAGGGAGCATATGCTCTGCTCTGGTTGGGAGAGTGTTAGAAGGAGCTGGAAACTCAGTCTGTGATCACAAATATGCTGTATGAAGCAAGGGTGAATTTAAATGGTTGCTAACTATAACTCTACAACTAAATTAGCACTGGGAGACAGATTATATGTGGATTTGTTAAAATGCAGCCACACACATGCTGCAGATTAAACGGGAACATTTTGTTTGATTCTTTCCTTCTAGAGACTTCAAAGTGTGTTACCAGGGCTTGTGTCCCTGTTGCCTTTCTAAAAACAGAAGCACAGAGGAGCAGAGCACCAGGGTCCCTCAGCCACAGCAGAGCTGCAAGGAGGACTTGGGCCTCCTGCATCACCCTGCAGTGTCAACACAAGAATTTAAATGCTCTGGGTCCATTTGCCTGAACCAGAATACCTAATAGAGGTGAAAGTAAAGACACCTGGGTCTGAAGAGCTTTAGCTTGGTGTGCCAACAGAATCATGGGCTGAGATGGGACTCTGTGGTATCCAAGAGAACTCATTTGTATGGGCCAACACAGACAAATCCTGTCAGCATCAGAGTTCCTTCAGCACATCCTCCCAGGCTGGTCAGAGGCCCTGCAGCCATTCCCTGATCCCAGAGCCAGGCAGCAGGGCTGCTCCAGGGGCACGACAGGGGAATCAGGATACTGACTGTGTTGCAAGAGGCAAGACAAAGGTGCCTGGTCTTCTTTAAGGTAGTAACTTAAAGGATGCAATTGGTCGAGAAGTATAATTGGCCTTGGAATGCTGCAAATCATAGAATTATAGAACCATCAAGGTTGGAAGGGACCTTAAAGACCACCAAGCTCCAACCCCCCTGCCATGAGCAGGGAACCACTAGACTAGGCTGCACAAAACCTCCTCCAACCTGGACTTAAAAACCTCCAGGGATGGGGCATCAACAACCTCCCTGGGCAACCCATCCCAGCTCCTCACCACCCTCAGAGTGAAGAATTCCTTCCTAATATCTCACATAAATCTCCCCTCTCTCAGTTTAAAACCATCACCCCTTATCCTAACACTGTCTTCTCTGATGAAAAGTCCCTCCCCAGCTTTCCTGGAGCCCCTTCAGGCACTGGAAGGTGCTCTAAGGTCTCCCTGGAGCCTTCTCTTCTCCAGGCTGAACATCCCAACTCTCCCAGCCTGGCTCCAGAGCAGAGCTGCTCCAGCCCTTGGATCATCTTGGTAAAATTTTGCTGTTTGAATAGTGGTTTGTGAAATGCACATTGTGTCAAAGAGCAGAGAATCTGGAGCTGTTGCTGCTGGTTAAAACAGCTCTAAGGGTACAGGATCTTTGCCCAAAAGCTAACCTGGGCTGTTCTTGTTTAGGGCAAGGCACTGAGGCCTGACCACCTCCTGGTTCTGGGCACCAATTTATGGCTTTATAGCAGAGAGGTTTCACCTTTTCTAACCAGAGGGAAATATTAGCCTTTCTTTCTTAATGGTTCTCTATAGTGCACCCTGCCAGAGAGACCTTAGAGGAAGGAGAGAAATGCAGGGAACAGACCCTTTTTCCTTATAGCCATAGAAAGATGAGCCATGTCAGGCATCCTAGGTTTCTCTACGTGCCTATAGGGAAGAAGTGGAAGAACAAGGAGAGAAACAGAGCAGGAGTGACTGGATGATAATGAGGGCATGAGTATATTCATCCTCAAGACACCTTGCATGTCTTGTGTGCAAGTAAAATTCACCACTGCAGATTTCAAACCTGTGCAATTTTTATCAAGGTTTATTTCCAAATGTAAATGTATAACCTCCTCAAATTTGAAGGTTTTGGTTATTCTTTGAATGAATTTTATATAATTTGGATGCCATTCAAAATCTGACTGTGTTCCAAAACCGAGGATGAATTTGCCCTATCCATCTTAGCCTCATAATGGGTAGATAGAACATATTAAGAGTTATCACCTCAAAGACAGATCAAAGTCTACTTCCTTTATATTGACTTTCTTTAAAAGGACCTAAATATAACCTGCTAGCTAAATAATTCAATTTTGGGAGCGGGGAGGAGGAACTGAGTGCATGTTTACACAGCAATCCCCAATAACTCTGCAGTTTTGATTCGTTAGAGAAGAAGAAACCCTTCTCACATGTTCTGTTTAAGGAAATGTTAGTCTTAGGCTAAATGAGCCCAAACCTGTCAGCCATCCAAATGGACTCTTCACTGACATAAGTGGCAAACACTTGCAAGGATCACTGACAGGAACAGCTCAGCTCAAGGAACAATGGGCTAATCCTAATAAATGGTCAATTTTCAGATGTTTCACAATGACATGCAGGGTGGTTTTTACATTCCCTGCTTGACTCTGCCTTTTATTATCAAAGGTGTTGAAAGATCAGCAACTCACAGGGGGCTGCCAGATTTAGTTGTCTTGTTCTTCCCTTATGTATCTTAAGTTTTGGAAAACACACACCTCAGTGTGCACACACGTGAGTAAAGACACGTCCAGGTGATGCCAGGCGTTCTCAGGAGTTCCAGAGCAGAGTGGCAATGCTGTAGCTCTGCATTCCATGAGAAGGCAAGGAATGAGGTACCAGGGCCATATCCTGCCATTTGTCCATGTCTAACTAAATGGTGCCTGGAGCCAGTCCAGTCCAGAGGGTTTCCCAACTGACCAGAATCCAGGCACAATGGCTGGATCACTGCTCGGGGCACTTCTAGCTTCAGTCCTTGGTCACTTCTCCCATTCCCATGAAACATCCATGTTTTCTATCACACTAAGCACCACTTGACTGGTTTTCTGATTTTTTTTTGCATCTGCATTTTAGCTGGGGAGGAGACAGAAAAGCCCCAAGGCTGGAAACCACAGACCCCAGCTTCACCTTCTGGATGCAGAACACTGTGCTGTGAGCGATGAGCTTCCAATGATGGCTCTAAAAATGGCTACACCTGAATTTGGAAGAGACTTTTCCTCACCAAAGCAAGCTCCACCACTGTGTGTTTTGCAGTACAGGAGCTTTAACCTCAGCTCTGCTCCCTGAGGTGTCCAGGTTTGTCATTATTAACACTTTTTTTTTCTTTTTTTAGCTAAGAATTTCTATATATTTCATACTGTTGCAATAGGTGGAATAAAAACGGACACTGGAAATGGGATCTTCTGGCTCTTGATTGGAATGGTCCATTTGAAATTGCCCTGACATCTCAAAGCAGAACACTGACCCTCCTTCTTCCTGGTGGGAGGGCACCAGGAGCAGTGGTACAGAGTAACTATTCCATGAATTATCTCAGGATGAGACTGATTGCTGGACCTTCATCCCAACAAGCTCCAAACACCAGGTCAGTCTCACTGCTGAGGTGCCTGCACCCCAGGAGCTCAGCCCTCAGCCTCTCACCACTGCCTTTAGCCAGAACCAGACACCTTTGTTTGCATCCTTAGGAGCAGGAAGGAGGCTGCTCCCGTGGGCACACACAGACAAAGCCCTCCCAGGAGGATCCGCGGGGGCAGGACAGTGAGACACCGTGCAGGAGGCTCCAGTGCCCTCCTGCCCCGGTGCCCTGTCGGTCAGCACAGCCCCAGTGCCCAGGTGGACACACTCAAGGTGACAGTCCCGGCCAGGCTGTGTCCCTGTGCCTGTGACACCCCCCGTGTGCCCCCCGGGGGGGCCAGCAGAGAGGCAACCTACCCACTTTGAGCTCCTTCCCGAAGACAGTTCTCTCCCCCAGGGCCGAGCAGTTCCAGCGCCCGTTGCGGAACTGGAACTGGCACTCGTTGATGCCCATCTGGGACCCTTCCCCGATGACGATGATGGCGTCGGGCCGGCTCTGGCAGATCGCCCGCTGCCGGGGGGCCAGGCCCGGGATCTTGTTGCAGATGATGCTGGCGCCCAGGGCCACCACCGAGGAAAAACCCCTGTAACGACACAGACCCCGCGGGTGGCTGAGGGGGGTCCCGGGGGCAGCCCCAG